TGACCAGGATGGTCTCGATCTCTTGACCTCGTGATCCACCCGCCTCGGCCTCCCAAAGTGCTGGGATTACAGGCTTGAGCCACCACGCCCAGCCCTGTTTCTCAAATCTTAAGTCATCCTCAGGCTAAGTGTGCTGTAGCTGGTATAATTTAAGATTTATTATGTTAAATTGAAGAAGGCCCAGAGTTGTAATCCTGTTTTAGAAATCCTGTTTCACTTTTCTACCAGGACTATTGCTGCAGTGGTATAAAAGTCACACATTAAAAAATCATGGTAGGTGAGCACTGTTCAAATTCTTTTTCTTTCTCCATACTGTCTCTTAATAAGTGAGACCACAGTGCCTTAGGTCATAATCTTTTTTCTAATGTGGTTCAGCCATTACTCCTTAGGCTCTTTTCTTTTCTCTCCGCATTTTAATTTTACTCCCAGCCATATTACCACCTTCAAACCCTAGGAAGACTCCTTTCCCCTTATTTTCATACTGACTCTACTTGGTTAATCCCCACAACTCAGGGTCATTCCCAGCTGGTAATGCCTGTGATTTATGCCTGGGTTTCTTTGCCACCTCTTCACTAATGAAAGTTGGTCACTGAGGGATTTGTGGCAGTGCCTTTGTGCCTAAAGTATTGTTCCCTTCATTAGTAGGACTTATGCCATTATCCCACCATGTGGACACTCCTTCCAACTCTAAATTGGCCAGCAGCGTTGTCATGAGTGTGCAATAGAACCTCTTTATTTTAGAGACAGGGTGCTGGGCTCCTCCCTGCTGGCCTGAGAAGAGAAAGACCCGTTGAATACACTTGCTAAATTGCAGGCTTTTGCCACTGAGCCTCTGAACCTGCCAGCAGCCTTGTAGTGAGATCGCCTTTTGTAAATAAAATAATACTTCATTAGGAAGTCAGAAGATTTCCTTGTATATTACTGAGGTAATTCAAACTTGGTACAGCAGAGACTAGGCTTTTATACTAAATAGTATGTTAATCAGACAAGAGCTACTGAAGTGAACATCATCAGACAGATTACATTCACTAGCCTCCATTCCCTGGTTAAGAAAAATCCGGAGCTTGAAATGGTTTTTTATTCTCCATTATATAGGCATAGGCATAAAGGGTATAAAATAATTCAAGCTTTGGCTGAATTTTTGTGATTAAATTTTGGGTTTATCTATCTTCAGCCATAAAGAACCTACATACATAGTAGCATTTATTTGTTACCATTTTGTCAACAAAATGAGTCAGAATTTCTTTTTTTTTTTTCTTTTGAGACGGAGTTTTCACTCATGTTACCCAGGCTGGAGTGCAATGGCGCAATCTCGGCTCACCGCAACCTCCGCCTCCTGGGTTCAGGCAATTCTCCTGCCTCAGCC